GGGGGGGGGGCTGAAATATGTGGAAGTGCGTGGGGTGGGCAGGGAGGGAGGAAGAAGGGCGGGGGGGATCATATGCAAGGTCTGGAAAAATAAGCGTCAACTGTCCCCCGACGTCCAAAGCCCGGGGGAGAGGGTGGGTAAGAGGCAAGGTCCCCCGCCGGACTGCTCCGAAACCAGCTCTGCCTAAGGAAATAGCTTCATAAGTGCCACAAGTCCATCTTGAACCGCCCCGCCCTGAAACCATTTCGGAGGCACCGACTCTAAAAGCACACCGCTCAACATGACCATCCGCCGCCACGAAACCCTGGAAATCCTGTGTCCCCCTTCGCCACTCTCTCCCACACCCTACACCCCGCTCCCCCATTTCCCCTCTCCCCCCCACACACACACCACCCCCTCACCACCCTACCAATCCCCCTCTCTCCCCCCCCTCACTCACCATATCCACCACAGACTGGCTAGACAGGAACTCGAACACGCCGTCCGAGGCGATGACGATGAAGGGGTGCTGAGCGGACAGCTGCTTGGTGACCACCTCCGGCTCGGCAAACACACCAATACGTTCCGCAGCTGATGAAGGAGTTTGGGGGGGGTTGGGGGGTTTTGGGGTTTTGGGGGCCAAGGATGACGATGGTGAGCGTAGGTGTGAGTTATTCACGAGTTTCTGTTTTAATACAAAAAGCTTTGTTTGCTTTCATAACTAGGACACATAGACTTCGTAGCGGTCACCGTGTTTGGAAAGCGTAACAGTTCACTAGTATAGCAATACAAAGTTTTTCTTAAATGTTTGATTCAAAAAATAGCCGAAACTCGCCGATAACATAAAAGAGTTTGCATACTAGTATACATGCTAACACGCGACGAGGTACGACGCGCCCGGGGGGGGGGGGAGGCGGGAAATCACGTACACATAAGCCGGGATGCGGAGGTAGGATACGGTGCGGGTACGGTGCGGGTACAGTACGGCACGGGGTACGGCAGTTTAGGGATCTGACAAGCGAACACATCTTAGATCCATTATTGTGGTTCGCTTTTCCAAGGGTGCAACATGCGCACGATGATCATGACCGAGGTCCCACCCCCTTGGGCGCACTAGCCAGGTTCCTCTAGGAAGTCTGGGAGACCCGGCACGTTGCTCTATGGCGCTTCATGCTCAAGCGGACGAGGGAGGACGATGATGATCCACCATGTAACCGCACTAGAAACGATTTACTGTCCATGGCCCCCCCCCAATGGCTTTTACGGACAACCCCGCACTGGTGCGGAACTTGTAACTAATGTAACTAATGTAACTAATGTAACTAATTTATCTTTGCCTACAAGAGTGTGTCGCCCCGCGGGAGCCACAAACCACACAAGGTGCACCAACAGCGCACTGCTGCCTACTTCTTACTTCTTACTGTTTGTCATCGCATCTAGATAAAACGTGTTAGTTATACAACTAACAACGAGTAACCAACCCCGGGGGGGTGTTCCCCACTCCTTCTTCCTCCTCTGGCCTCGGCGCAACGTCTTTCCCCCCACTCCCTGCAACACAAACAAACATACACACAGACGCACTCACCGCTGTCCCCAATGCTCCTGGTGAAGGCCGTACCCGGGTACGTGGCGTTGGGGGCCCACAGCCGGGGGGGGTCTCCGTCGTCCTCCTCCTCCGTGCCCCAGGACTCAACATTGGGATCCTGGGGGGGAGGGCAGTGGGGGTGGGAGGGTGGGTAGTTGAGTGGGGTGGGGTGAGGGGTCAGAGGCGAACCACCGGCGAATGAAGCAGATATACTCTAGGGATAGATGGATAGCCCTCCAGGAGAAGAGACAAACAGGGAACAATGCTGCATGATACCAGAGATGTAAGGGGGGTAGAGAAGGGGGGGAAAGACGAACACGAGCGAATGAAGCTGGTGCCAAGGAAAGACTGAGAAGGGGGGGAAAGGGAAGGGATAGGGAAGGGAAGGGGGGAAAACACAAGGTAAGAAATGTGTCGCACAGGGAAGGGAAGACACATTTTTGGACAGTACCGCCGGGGGGGCGCTACATGTCCTGCCTGAAAACTAGGACCGTACCCCTCCACCGTTGACACACCCA